ATATATCCCAAGAAACCAGAAACACCAATCAGAAAGGATATGTGCACCCATATGTTCATAGCAGCACAATTCACCATAGCTAAGATCTGGAAACAGCCTAAGTGCCCATCAGTAGATGAATGGATTAGAAAACTGTGGTACATCTACACGATGGAATACTATGCTTCTGTAAAAAAGAAAGAACTCTTACCATTTGCAATGGCATGGATGGAACTGGAGAGCATTATGCTAAGTGAAATAAGCCAGTCAATGAAGGAAAAATACCACATGATCTCACTCATTCATGGATAATAAAGACCATTATAAACTTATGAACAATAATAGATACAGAGGCAGAGCTGCCTCAAACTGATTGTCAAACTGCAGCGGGAAGGCCAGGGAGGGTTGGGGGCAGGAGGGAGGGGGGCAAGAGATCAACCGAAGGACTTGTATGCATGCATATAAGCATAACCAATGGACATAAGACACTGGGGGGTAGGGGAGGCCAGGGGATTGTCAAGGGCGGGGGTGGGGGGAAAGGACACATATGTAATACCCTTTGTAATACTTTTAAGCAATAAAACGATAAAAAAAAATTAAAAAAAGAAATGCAAGATGCCTATGGTTTCAGAGGTTAGAACATATAGAAGATAAAAATGATCAGGCTGAGAACCAGGAGACCTGGGTCTAATACTAGCTTTGCCACTAACATTGATATGTGATACTAAGAGTCATTTCATCCCTCTAGACCTGAGGTTTTCACCCATAAAATGAGAGGAGTAGGCTCTTAAGGGATCTTTTGGCAATAAGAGATGGTCAAAGGAATGACTGAAAACTTCTCTACATTTCTGCAGTCTTGTACTCCTGCCAAAAGCAGGAAAGACTGCTAATGTTGGGTGGAAGTAAAACCAGTTGGAGTTTCCAATATGACGCCACAGTGGTTTTGACTGAGACCAGATGCGTAAGCTTGTTACTTTTGATTTCACAAGGCTGAGATTTAGCAAAAAGCACGAGACCTATTGTGTTCATTGTCGTGGGGAAAACCCTGACATTTCCAAAGGTGACTCTCTGTCCCAGTGCAGTTTGTCTTATCCAATCTGCCTCTCCAGGTTTTCCCAGAACCACAGACTGTTATTGCTGTGAGGGGCCTTGAAGATCACCAGGCCCCTCATGTCCGTCAGGAAGGCAGGTGGGGAGTAACCTACCCGGGCTCAGAGATGAGCCAAGGGCAGAGCTGGCACGAGGACCTGCGTCCTGACTCTCAAGCCAATGTCCTTTCCACGGCACCAGCTTGCTCTATGCCTCAGATAAGAGAGCTAGTCTCAACTTGCCCAACTAGCACTTTGTGAAAACTGCAAGATGCATGTATGATAATCCCAAAAAGGATGCCATTCATATCTTTTCCGGAAAAACACAAAAGAAGGTCAACTTCAGAACAATTTCCCACAATTTCTGTATAAAACCAAGTGTATAATCTCTGGCAATAATTCTCAAAAGGGCAGCCCCAAAGGAAATTTGTACTTAGATCGTAAGATAAGGACCCAACCCAGAGCGGACATTTTATTTAATTCAAGTAGTCCTTCACTGTTCTCAATTCATTCCCATTTAACAGATCTAGAGAAATCAGCATATTTGGTTCTGAACCAAAACAATTCCCTCCATTTTCTGGGGGGCTTGAGAATGCAATCTGATTGGTTTAATTTGTATTTGAGTTTCAACAATTGAATATAAAAATCAAAATAAACGAACAAGAAATCTAATGAACAAAATAAACTGAATAACATAGAATCAGAGGCATGGAAACATGGGACAGACTGACGGAAGGAAGGGGGGAGAAGGGGTGGGAAGACATTAACCAAAGATCTTATATGCATATATGCATTACTTATGGGCAAAGATTATAGGGTGGTGAAGGCCTAGGATAGGGTGAGAACTGGATGGAGGGAGGCAATTTGGGGGGGGGGGGAGGGGACATCTGTAATCCTCTCAACAATAAAGATTTTTTAAAAATTAATATTTAGGTTTAATTTAATATACAGATTCATTTGTTTCCTCCTTTGGATTATTATTAATTAATAATCTATCTATTAATCTAATAATTTGTTTTTTAAATCCTCATCTGGGGATATGTTTATTGCTTTGAGAGAAAGGAAGAAAGGGAGGGAGGGAGGGGAAGAGAGAGAGATAGATACTCAATGTGAAAGAGAAACATTGATCAGTTGCCTCCCATATGCACTCTGACTGAAGATAGAACTCGAAACTTAGATATGTGCCCTGACCAAGAATCACATCCAAAATCTTTTGGTGTACGGGATGATGTTCCAATCAACTAAGCCACCCGGCCAGGGCCTAATCATATATTTCTGATGCCACACACTGAAAACAAAACTACTTGCCCCTTTTCATTAAAAGAAGCAACAAGACCATGGGAGGGTGGTGGTGACCCAGAGAGCCATGCTTCCTTGAGGTGGTTTAAAAGCTCTAGCCTAGCCCTAACCGGTTTGGCTCAGTGGATAGAGCATTGGCCTGCAGACTGAAAGGTCCCAGCTTCGATTCCGGTCAAGGGCATGTACCTTGGTTGCGGGCACATCCCCAGTAGGGGGTGTGCAGGAGGCAGCTAGTCGATGTTTCTCTCTCATCGATGTTTCTTTTTTTCTTTTTTTAAAATATATTTTATTGATTTTTCACAGAGAAGAAGGGAGAGGGATAGAGAGTCAGAAACATCGATGAGAGAGATCGATCAGCTGCCTCCTGCACGCCCCCCACTGGGGATGTGCCCACAACCAGGGTACATGCCCTTGACCAGAACTGAACCCAGGACCCCTGAGTCCGCAGGCCGACACTCCATCCACTGAGCCAAACCGGTTCGGCTCTCATCGATGTTTCTAACTCACTATCTCTCTCCCTTCCTCTCTGTAAAAAATCAATAAAATATATTAAAAAACAACAACAAAAAAATCTCTAGTCTAGGCTATAAAGCTGGTGCTCTTTCAAACAGAGCGTTAATAACTGGCAGCCAAGAAGCTGGCGTGGGGCCAGTCACCTATCCTGTTATTTCTCCTAACCCCACAGGCCACACCGAGAAAGCCAATCTTGGACTTCCAAGTTCTCTTACCTGAGTGAATCGTCGGACTAGGCACGTCTTCCCCACACCAGCATTGCCAATTAAAACAATTTTAAACAGGAAATCATAATCTTCCATACTCATTTACACAGCTGCAAGGCAAACAAACACAGGCAAGAGTGAGATGGGGCCTGGTCAGACTTGCCCACAGAGCTGAAGCTGCACCAGCCCTGTCTCCTCGGGAAAAGCGCGTCTGACTCATTTGAAGAGCAATTTAATGCTCCCCTCTGGTGACTCTGCTGGCGAGAGAGGAACACAGGTGTTTGGTCACAGATGGACTTTATTCCTCCCCAGCCACCTCAGACCACAGAGAGTAAATGACACAGATGTTCTTTCGCCTGGTAACCTTTACACTTCCAAGTAGTCAGGTCGCAGTTCGCTCGTGTGATAAGATGTGTTTTCGCATGGAAAGGAGATTACAGGTCTATGTGCAGAGAAGCTGGGGTGCAAGGCAGCAAGGCAAAGGAGAGTCCATCTCTTTCTCTCTGAATTTCTCACTGATCTTCCCCAAATATAAGTTAAATACCTTCATCATTCCTCTGTCCTAAACTTTACTTGCTATATACAGTTATTTGTTCAAATGTCTATCCTATCCTTGAGGAAAGGGCTTACATCTTTCAGCTCTATTTTCCTAGATCATGGGACAGAGTTACACCTAGTAAATGACGACTCTAGGACGAAATAATTCATTAATGGTCATATTGCTTAAGTCAGTGATGGCGGCGAACCTTTTGAGCTCGGCGTGTCAGCATTTTAAAAAACCCTAACTTAACTCTGGTGCCGTGTCATATATAGAAATTTTTTGATATTTGCAACCATAGTAAAACAAAAATTTATATTTTTGATATTGATTTTATATATTTAAATGCCATTTAACAAAGAAAAATCAACCAAAAAAATGAGTTCACGTGTCACCTCTGACACGTGTGTCATAGGTTCGCCATCACTGGCTTAAGTTATAGCCTTAGTTTCTCCAACTGTGCTAAGAAGAATACTATAGCTCTACTTCAGAGGACTGTTGTGAAGATTTAAAAAAAACAAACCCCACTATATAATAGAGTCTTAGAATCCATAAAGCCCCATCCTAGTGAAAATAATTGTGGTCTATTGAGTACCTACGATAGTACTGTGCTAATCACCATACAGAGATCTCTGCCCTCGAGACCAACATGACAAAAGCTAAACAACAACAAAGAAGTTCAATTCAATTCCAATCAGTAACAGAGCTCATTTCATAAGGTGCAGGCAGAACAAGCCTGGTGGACTCTGGAGGAGGAGGGAAAGGGTGACAGCAAGCCATGAGGGGAAGGATGCTTGGAGAGCTAGAGAAGCCTCAGCCAGCTGGGGAGCAAATGACTCAGGGCTGCAGGACAGAAGCAGAGCTCACTGTACTGTCACCTGTCAGGTAGCAAGAGGAATAAGTTCCCTGTGTGCAACGGTGTGTTCTCTATGGATCTTAATTTCAACTGGTCCTTGGAAAGATGACTTGACAACCAGGCCAAATGCAGCTGGCAGCTCATTTGGGATTCTGTCTCAGTTCAGGGGACCATGAAAGGAAAACATTTCTCTGTCAAGAACCTGGGTCCATAAGAAGTCATTGTACTTGCTATATGCCAGGCAAGGTACTTGGCACCTTATGTATATTTCCATTTGTTCTCATAAGTCTATGAGGTGGGTATTTATTTATGTTCCCTACTTTACAAGTGAGTAAACAGAAGATAAAGGAAATTAAGAGGATAGCCTGAAGTCATCAAAAGAACTCTAGCATTGGAGCCAGAGAAACCCAGGTTCACACCCTGACTGTGCTGCCTTTTAAGTCTGTGCCTTGAAGGCAAGTGAAGATTTTTTAGAGTCTTAACTTCACCACCAGCAAAATGGGGTTAATAACACCTAGACCACAGAGTTGTGATGCTTGAAGTAATTAATGAAAAGCCCCAAGGACAGTATCTGGCTCTTAGTCACCCCAAATCCTCACTGTGACTCACACACTTTCCATGGTCTGGTTTCTGTCTTCATTATTGTCAGCACCATCTCTGCCCATGCTGTAGGCTCACTAGATTTTTTTTAAAAAATTGATTTCAGAAAGGAAGGAAGAGGGAGAGAGAGATAGAAACATCCACGATGAGAGAGAATCATGGATCGGCTGCCTCCTGCAAGTCCCCCACTAGGGATTGAACCCATAACCCAGGCATGTGCCCTTGACCGGAATCGAACCAGGGACCTTTCAGTTCGCAGGCCAACCTTCTATCCACTGAGCAAAACTGGCTAGGGCTCACAAGATTTCTTCAGTTTCTTAAACACCACACAGAATGCAACCTCCCCTCACCACTCCCAGCCCAGGTAACTTTTATTCCTCCCTTAGATCTCAGATTAAACATTGCTCTCTCTAGTGTGCTTCTCTGACCTATGAGGGGGGCTGGGCACCTGCTATATGTTCCCACAATACCCTTCTTATCTCCTTTAGTAGTACTCATCATGCTTTACTGTACTTAATCATATACATCTTTCTCCAACAGCATGTCTCAGCACCTCGGCCACATACACACACACACACACACACACACACACACACACACACGCACACGCACACACACACACAGGACCATGAGCAGCATGAGAGTAATGAAGTTGTTCAGTCCTGATCCCAACCCGTCCCCATCATCGTCATTTCACTCTATATTATTAATTCATTTCATCCTCCAAACGATCCTACCTGGTGGACACTATTAACAGCCTAACTTGACAGATGGGGATACTGAAGCAGAAGAGAAGGTAAATAAGAAGTTGTTAAGACCTCACTTAAGTTAAGACAGCCTGGGTTCATTTCCCTGAACTACTGCCCTGTAGTGCCTTTCACAGTACCTGGCTCATAGTAGGAGCTTAAGAAAGATCTGACACATTAAATGATGAAGGGTAAGCACTTAAGAAACATGTGATTTTCGTTCTCTCTTCTGGCTTCAAATCCAAAACTCTTTTCCACCGCACTGTAGTAATCTAAATAAGAATCAAGGTCAAACTCTGAATAAAAACTCACGGACAGAGTATGTTCATTAAAACGCAAGCTGTTAACAGTGAAAAGAAAATAAAACGCAGAGACAGCACAAGGATAGCAGAAAGATTTGAGGCTCTGTGGACCACCCACGGACCACAGCTCCCTGCTTTCATGAGCTTATAAACAGGGAACACAGGATGGGGCTGCATTCTTTTTCTGAGCTTAGACTGTTTGCCACACGTTTACTTCTCCATCTTTGGCAGAGGCCAAAGAAACAAGCAGAGAATCCAGAGATCAGTGTCCATATATAACAACCTGAGGAACAGGGCTCCTAAGAGAAGGTTAACAGTGCCCAAATCATGCCCCTTCAGGAAAGGAAGGCAAAGTGTTACCTGGTCCGAGTCCACGGTCATCATCAAGTCTCATGTCGTTACCACCAGGAGTGAGCCACAGAATAAAAATTAAGGCCCTTCTCCTTTCTATAAGAAATTACTTTAATGCTCTATTGAATTTTTTTTTAAAATAAACATCTGGGAGGAAAGTGTTTGGAATCTTTAAAAATGCAGGCTAAGGCTGGACTATAAACTCCAGTTACCTGCTGTGGTTACTGTTTTCTTTCTAATAGAAAACACAAGGCTGAGTGAAAAGCTCACACAATTCTCTGGAAACTGCACTCTGAGGAAGTGCTTGGTAAGTAATGTAACAGCTCAGGCATCACCGATCACCAGGTGATGAGGCAGATTCTCAGGAAGGTAAACCCATTCAGAAGCAGTCAGTTACACCCATCCCTAAACGGGCAGCAAAGTCACACCTTGTCTGGGAAGCAAGCACCTGCCAAGACATGCCACTGGCCAGGCGCTACTCTAGAAACTGTATATTCTATTATTGATGCTGATGCTGATGATGATGATGATGATGGCTGACACTTACTCAATGTTTGTGATGTGCCAGGTTCTGTTCTATAGGTATTCACTCATTTAAGCCTCACAACAATCCTATAAGGGAGGGACTGTTATCATCCCTGGCTTTCCCAAGATGAAACTGAGACACAGAGAGGTTGTGCTAAAGATATACAGCTAGTTAGTCTTAGGACCAAGATTCAAACCTAGACCCATCAAACTCCAAAGCCCAACTCCTTCCAAAGTAGATGCCACTGCCCCTTGCCTCATGGTTAATAGCACTCTGTCATGAGGGCAGAGGCTCAGGTGAATGGAAGCCCAGCCCCTTTGAACTACGGTGCTCTAGGATCTCCCCGCTCTGGAAGCAGCACCCCACATTGATAGGTTCACACACTGATTCCAGATCTACAAGCACTGCTCCTCACTGTGCCCTCCGAGCTCAGGTTTTTTTTAGGAGCTGGACCCAGACTTCTCCCTGCACAGGACGCCCACAATTCCGTCATCGTTCATCCATGTAACCAAGTACCAGGCACAGGGGATAGAGACAAGATCACGACTCAGATAAACAAGCAAAACCCCAAATGACATGATCGCCACAATAGCTCTAAATAAATGGAGATATGCCTAAGGTTCAAAATAGGAAAATTAGACAAAGGAGAGAAAAAATGAGTTTAAAAAAGATACAGGAACCATGTACTTTGCAAAGATTAAAAAGAAGAAAATTTGGGGGTGGGGGGGAGGATGGGAGCAGTTAATGGGGGGGAAAAAGCAAACCTATGTAATACTTTCAACAATAAAGACTTTTAAAAAAAAAAAGAGAAGAAAAAAATTCTGGGCAATGTGATTTTGGCAACATAAATCATTTATCAAAGTGACCTTTTAAAAAACAAAACAAAATTGTTTTCACCGTTGTGCATCAGAACACTTCCCCCTTGTCCTTCTGGTCTAGTAGAACAGATAAAGTCAAGGCTTCTGGTGAATAAAAAGCAAAATCCCTGTCCTGCCTTCTGATCCCCAGCCCCTGCCCAAGAAAAAGATAATTTGAGGACGTGTCCTTGTTCACAAACCATGTGCCTCACTCAGGTCCTTTCCCTCTCCCAGTCTCAACTGAGACCCTGTAAACTGGAGAGGGGGGAGCGGGAGGAGAGGGTTGGGTGGACAGGTGCCACTGCCCCTCCCCAGGACAGCCCATTCTCTCATA